CGGCTTCCCTCTGCCCCCTCATTCATTCCTCCCCTGGGAGGGACTTTCCAAATCGATGAGTTAAGTAATAACATACTTACCATAGGTTGTTATGGACATAGGTTGAAATGCCCTGCTCTCCTGTGCCTCCTTGTTGACCTGCCTTCAGGGAGCACTACTGCTCTTAGCTGTGCACTTAGCTGTGCATAATAGTAAAGGCCCTGACCCTGGGGGAAGTTGGCAGTGGTGCAGAGCTGCTAGTCAATCTCATTCTAGGCTTCAGCCCATTTTTCACAGATGTAAGTAAGTAAGCTGCATTCTCCAATACCCATTTTATTAGTATTAAAGATGATATTTTGGCTATTATATGCCTTATTTTTTTTGACTTCTCAGTTGGTTCAGGTTTCAGTAGGGAAGAAAGGTTCTCTTTGTTGGGTCCTCTCTAACCCCAACAGGAAATATTATAGTATTCTTTCCTATAGATAGCATTTTGAGTAACATTAGAAGCTCATATCACAGATGTTTGAAACTCAGATTATTTTTGTCTCTCAATATTCATCTATTACACAGATGGAAAGTAAAAAAACGATCTAAACCAGTAACATTACTCTTTTGATGGAACTTTTTTGTTGCTGTTTAGTGGGTGAGAGTAGGTAAGATGCAGTAGATGACTCAAAAGATAAAGTAAGTGTCTCTCCTCTTGAAAATCTCCGATGGGCTATGGATTTTTGTGCAACTTCTCACAAATGCAACAAAATGCTTAATATCTAAGGATTAAGGATATAGTCAATGGTCATCAATCAGATCACACATTTGTTCTGTTAACCTCAGTCTTCTAGAATAAAACACACCACCAGATTGGGAGCTTTTTAAAATATAATTTAAAACTATTTTGTACCAGTACAATATATTAATTTTACAAATGTAAAATTTTATCAGCTGTTAAAGCATTTGCAAAAACCACACATTCTACTTCAGCTTTATTGCACAATATCTATAAGAAAATATTAATTTTTAAATTAGAAAACATAAAAATGCTTTCAATATAGAAGAGACAATCTGATTTTGAAGACAATACTCTATAAGAATGTCTAATCAGAAAATAACAAACTTTCACAGGATACCAAGCTGGACAGATGCTTCAGCAGATCAGGTACAAAGCACTGTTTAAAACCAGTCCAAGATACTTAATCCAAACTGTATCATCATTCTTCATTAGAAATCTAGACACCACTCAAGGTGGTTTCTTATACTTGAAAAAGTTGAGGCATTTTTCAGTGTTGAGCATTCTGAATATCTCTTACATATCAAAAACAACACTTCCAACTTAGCCATTTGCAGAGCTTTTTTTCCTTCATGCAGATTATCTCTGGCAATTGTTTTTAATGACTGTTCATGATCATTTTAATTTATGCTGATAGAAAACATCAAGTTAAATACACTTTTAAAACCTTGTCCTTTACAAAAATCAGTTTATAAATCTGCATCATAAAAATTAGTGTCAAGACCATCAAGATGGCCTTCATTTATTTATATGGTTGTATATTAGTTGGTTTTCCCAGAGTTGGGATGGCAGATGTCCCACTTTTCTATGTAGTGTAATCAGGAAATAAATCCAAGCACTAAGCTGGAATCCCAAGATAGGTTAATAAGGCTGCATGATGGATTTTATTGGGATATGACCCTGGACCAATATACCAGTGTAGGTGTTAAAATACTGACAGCAAACCTTGGTGGGAATTTAACTGACCTCAGACGATAAACTTCGTTTGGAGATGTAAAAGGAAAAATGTTCATACATACATTATCAATGGGGTTGTGTGTATCACAGAAAAGAAAAAAATCCTTATTTATTACAACAAGGATTCACCAGATTGATACATACATAGACTATTCATCTTTTCCTATTAAAACATGTTGATTCAATATCAAGTGTTTTCAAGTTTATGCCTTTGTGGCCTGGGAAATTACCTTTTGGAACTTATGGCCTGCATAAGCAAAGTCAAATATGATATTACACACTTGTGTAGAGAAAATGATTATTAAAATAGTGGTTATACACTAACAAGTTTGTTGTAGGTAGACAGAATTATCAAAAACCCAGATGCTTATAAAAAAGTTTGCATTATTTAGAATCTCTTCCTTAGGAATTAAAGCAGTTGCTTTTCTGGAACTGTATTTTTCAGTACTGCTCAAAGCACCTCATCCAGATGAGTGTTTTAAAAAATATATATAAAAAGTCTACAATGAGACTTCGAACATCACATATTTCACCTTTTATGGGCTTTTTATCATGTATCCCTTCCTTAAAGTCCTTCAGAATAAAATAAAAATAAACTCTCACATTCCATTAGAAAAAAATAGAAACATTCATGGTCTGAAAATTTTCTGGATTCCCCCAAATCTTGCTACTCTGTGCAATTTCCTCACATACCAGTTTTGAGGAAACCCCTGGTCATCTATCATGGAATAGTCAGCTAAAAGACATGCCATAGAAAATTTACATTAATAGTAGTAAATAGATTAAAATCTATTCCATAAAATAAAAATGTTCTATGACTTCAATTTAAATACAGATCTGGAAAGCTAAAAGGAGGTTTTTTTGTTCGTTTCCAAAAGTGCTAATTATTACATTTACAAGTCTCTTCAATACATTATGTTCAATTGTTTGTAAAACTAAACCACCTTGCTTTAGGCACACTGCTTGAAGAGTTTCTAAGGAGCAAAGAGGGGAAAAATCACTTGTCAATTAATCCAGCTTCCTTAATTTTACTGAAGAAGAATTTCTCCAGGATATTGGCACATTTGTAGTATTCACTCTCAGGGGGGTTGTACTCTTTGCAATTGGTAAAGACTCGCTGTAAGTCTGCCATGAATAATTTCTTAGACACGTAGTACCTATTCTTGAGGCGTTCACTCATGGTTTTCAGATCTGCACAGAAAAAAAAATATTAGCCATCTTTGACTCCTTTTAAACACTAGCTGACAAAAGTGAGAATAGGAAAGAAATCTAGGTTGTTGGTTTGATTACATTTTTATCATCTCAATACCTTTCTTAGAGAGAAATTCTTATGATCAAGAACAGTTCTTAAATCTTATGTTCATTCTTTTGTGGGTTTTTTTTTTTTATGTAAAATCACAGCCATTTTAACAGTAAAGGGACTATTATTAGTCATCTGGTTCAATCCCCTATTCAGCACAAGGAAGCTAAGTAGATTAGCAACAATAAGTATGATGAACTGACTACTGTTAGCTATTCATTCAGAATTACACAGAAGAGGCTCTATCTACATGAAGTAGAGCAGGTGGAACATTTGTATTAAATCATTTAATTACTTAAATCAAAACAATCAGACTGAGTTTGTTTTGCTAAATTCACAGTTGGTTTGGTGTTATATAGATAAAACTAGAGAAACTGATCATAAATACACCTGCAAATACAGCAGTGACCCTGCATGTAAAATGGTTCAAATTAATTTTGCTTCATGCTCCATGGATGAAATAAGAATGATAAACTTTATCTTCTAAAGCAAGTAAGCCTTGTGAGACTATTGTAAAAAATATTTTCCCAATATATCTACCTGCTTTAAATTGTATTATTTTACAAGTGAAAACAGTATTTCATCTAAACTGATAAGACTACACCAGGAAGGGTTTCCGCAACCCTCACTGTTAGGACCAATTTAAAGGATTCCATGCAGATTAAAAGATGCTAACATTTTTCTATTTATGGATCCCCGGTTGTCTTTGAGTCTGGTTCTATTGTTAAAAGTTATAATTATATTAACTATGTATGGAAAAATGAGTCAAAAAGGCTAAAAACAAAAAACAAACAAAAAAAAACTCCTGAATACCAATACACCAAATTCCCACAGTTATCAAATTTTCCAGAGGGAAAGAAACTTACAACCAAATACATTGAGATTATCATTTAATAAGATAAGTAAATTTATGCACAACATCCCAAAATGGGAAGAAAGTCATTTGCATCAATAGCCTAAACCCACCATAAAATATCAAAGAAAAAAATGGAAAAGATCTGCTTCTGCCCATCTATTTTGATTAAAGCTTATCTCAGTTATAGTGTATGTTATCACATCTGTAAACCCAACTTTCAATTTTTTTTTCTTCTCTAATTGAACCAGTTTGGAGGGAGAGAAAAATCTAAAAGTGTTAGGGTACATTAAGACTCAGCAAATCCCCCACTGTCTCACCCAAGTGTGACTGAATGGATCAAGGTGTTCTCCCATTTAAGGAAGAAAGAACAATGAAATTGTGCCTCTCTAAGTAAAATTAGACATTTATATTTCTTCTACCTAAATGCCTACACCACTTAAGATATGCTGCCCAATATAATGTTAATAATGTTGTAGAAGGAAAAGACATGCAATCGAAAGAAAGGAAAGAAAGAAACAGAGAGAAATAAAGAAAGAAAGAAAAAGAAAGAAAGAAAGAAAGAAAGAAAGAAAGAAAGAAAGAAAGAAAGAAAGAAAGAAAAGAGAGAAAGAGAAGAGAAAGGAGAGGAAGGAAGGAAAGAAAGAAAAGAAAGGAAAGAAAGAAAGGAAGGAAGGAAGGAAGAGGAAAGAAAGAAAGAAAGGAAGAAAGAAAGAAAGAAAGAAAGAAAGGAGAGAAAGAGAGGAGAAAGAGAGGAAGGAAGGAAAGAAAGGAAAGAAAGAAAGGAAGGAAGAGAAAAGAAAGAAAGAAAGGAAGGGAGGGACGGGGAGAGAGGGAGGGAGGAAGGAAGGAAACAAGGAAGGAAGGAAAGTAAGGGGAGGTGGAATGAAACTTTACACAATAAGTTTGTCCAAAAGATTTTCAAAAATTTTTTTTAGGAGGAAAGGGGTAAGAAGAGATGGAGAAAACCTAAAATGTAGCAGAAACAAAGCAAGGATTATAGAAGTGTTTGGACCTTTCTGAATAATTATAACCAATTCTGAATACTTCCTTTCTGTATTTCCTTTTTATTCTAAAGCTACAGATAGCATCTTTCTTCCTCCAGCCTTCTTAGGTTTTTTCCTAAGACCAAACAATGTGGGTTAAACACTATTTTTAGTCACTAAAAAATAAAGTGACTAAATATTGATGGTGCCGAATATGGAGACACCATTAAATTATTCTATTTTCATTTCCCCTTCCCCCAACTTGGGAATTCTGGGTAAACAGGAAAACCCCACACAGCAATGCACAGGTGGTAAGAAGTCGCACTTGGGCCAGACTACACAGGCAACATCCAGTGTGTGACTCCCTAAGTGAAACAGGTTAGATCCCATCCATACGAGAGAAGAACAGAGAGAAGAGGGAAAGAAAAGCATATAGATGTATGTCTAGTTTAAGGAGTATAGGCTACTGAAATCATTACTACAGCTATATAAAACATTCATGTGAAAACTAATGCCATAGAAAACATCTGAAAATAGTTTTCAGTTATCGAAGAGCTGATGGATCCCTATCATTCTTCCTTTTCACATTTTAACACTTCCACAGTTCTCAGTACCTGCAACAGACTACAGGTAAAAAGAGAAGACTCTGGCTCTCTCCAAAAAATGGCCACATAACTTAAAAAGAAAACATCTCAGCTAGATGTGTGTCATCTGCACAATGCCAAACTGGTTTAATTTGGAGGCTCTCAACTGATGCAATTAATCATTCATTTTTAGCGTGGTGCAGGCAAAGCACAGCAGCAAATTCCACAATGTGACATTTCTGAAGATATCTTTTCTGTTTGTTTTTGGATGTGGGAGAAAGCTTAAAATAAAGACTGTATACAGTGACACTAACAGTATCCACTAAGAGCATGGAAAATCAAGAATTGCATTAAGTAGAATTTCTCCCTCTGAAAGTACAGCAGTCAAGCAACTTAATCTAATTCTTTCATATTACCTTCAAAAATTCCTAAAGAAAATAGCCATTTCTGAAAAACAGAATCGAAGAATATCAAGAGGACAGTTTGATGACTTTCCATTTGCAACCAAACAGAATATGAGCAAGGTTATGTCCAAAAAGCCAGCTTTCATATCTAGTGCTGTCTGCAGTTTCCCTGGACTGGACTTTCTGAGTGGTGTTGTTGAACATGTGTGGGTTCTAAAAGACAGCTGCAGGATGTCTCTCATGAACACAGCCACCCACTTCTCCTTTATCATTCTGCTCTGACATCGCTGTCCTCCACTGGTACACGGGATCCCACCACCCCTCATATACTTCCTACCCTACAACAGAGGAGTACCAATCAACCTCAGCAACCATTTGTCCCCCACACCGCCATCCAGAAAGTTTTAAATCTATACTTAGAAAATGTTAATGGCATTACCCATGGGGAACCTTATAACTTCATAATATCCCGGAGCTTCTGTTCTCTTCACAGGTTCCATGAAGGGCCAAGCGCTTTGATGGCTCTTGGGTAAAGAAAAAAGTAAGGTATCTAATATGGAAATTCCATGTGGGAAATCATTTCAAAATATTTGCATGAGGTGGATAAAGAGAATACCCACCTTCACCTGCTGGAGGATGCTCTTGAGCGTGCTGTAAAGCTGGTCAGGGTCTTTGGGCTCTTTACTTGAAAAGAGTAAACAACAAGGAGCAATGATTAGTTTTTTACCCTCTTGCCAGCTGATTACTATTCAGCTCATTCTTACAAAACTCCCAAACTGGAAACATTCCATAATTTTTTATAAACATCAAAGCCCACCAACTGTTGTTATTAGCGATTACAATTAGTTAGCCCTCTTTCTCTAAGTTGCTGGGAGGGGAAAAAAATCACTTCCATTAACATCCTCATGCCGATCACACTTACCTTTTTTCTTTTCCACTCGGTTTCCAGCCTGTCTCTCCTATACGTCAACAAAATTAAACACTGAATGAGAACTGCTTTTGGTCAAGAGAATAACACAGTCAATACTTATCAAAAACACAATAAATTACAATCATGCCTCAATAAAAGTCTATTTCTGGAAAGAGACTGAAATGAAGGTCATTTAGTTACTTCCTCATACAGCTAATAATACAAAGCAATTCCAAGAGAGCTAACACTTCCCTACGTGTTAGAGTATTTTAAGCAGGAACTCCAACTTTTCAGAGGAAAGCATAAAAAACAAATATATCCAGTACTGTGGGCATGTGTATTTTTTTTAACTATAAGTCGAATTTTTTGCTAATCACCATGTGCAAGAGTTAAGCTGTTATTTTAGGTTTGAACAAACTCTATCCTAGTCTCTATTTTCTCTAGCCAAAACCCTGCTTGGTTTAATGCAGCAGATAGAAAACACAGCCCGGAGTTCCATAGATCTGGATTTGATTTCCTACTCTTCTCCCTAAAGGACAACTTACTCTAAATAAGTTACTTAACATCTTGCCTCTCAGTTTATCAATCTATAAAACAGAACTCTAAAAAAATTTTTTTTTTGAGACAGAGTCTCACTGTGTTGCCCGGGCTAGAGTGCTGTGGCGTCAGCCTAGCTCACAGCAACCTCAAACTCCTGGGCTCAAGAGATCCTTCTGCCTCAGCCTCCTGAGTAGCTGGGACTACAAGCATGCGTCACCATGCCCAGCTAATTTTTTCTATATATTTTTAGTTGTCCGATTAATTTCTTTCTAATTTTAGTAGAGACGGAGTCTCGCTCTTGCTCAGGCTGGTTTCGAACTCTTGAGCTCAAACAATCCGGCCACCTCGGCCTCCCAGAGAGCTAGGATTACAGGCGTGAGCCACCACGCCAGGCCTGAACTCTAAAATTTAAGTGATATTATCCCTACTGAGATTAGTTGATGTATGTAAAAAAACATACATGAATGCCTGGAACAAGCAGGCATTCAATGATATGGTAGCTATTATGCCATTAATAGGGATTATATAGGGAAGTATTATAGGATTTCTAGATTTAGCAGTAAAAATAAGATCTGCTATAGAATAGGTGTAATGAAGTAATATATCTTGCCCAAATACAGTCTTCTTTTTTTTCTGGAGAATTTTAGTTTGTTTGATTTTGTTTTGTTTATAAAATCTTCAATATACTAGAAGAATCTGGATTTGAACTGAATAAAATGGCTGAATGGTATCCAATAGCTTTTGATCTACAAACACAACTACTTTGTATGGTTTAATCCAATACAACTCATCTCTAACATATAAACAAGAACCCTTAGGAAAACTACTGTAAAATAGGGAACTTGAAACAAATTATATGATTTCTGTCATATATGGCAAATAATCTTTTTTAGAAGTTGGGGTAAGCTAATTTAGCCAAGCATGGTGGCAGTGAGACATGGTGCAAACAGCAAGATGTCTGGAGATCGGAACTGGGCTGCTTCTAATTCTGACCATTACTAGCTATGTGTCATTTAACATTAAATGATGCCACCATTCTGAGATTCAATTTCCTCATATGTAAAAGTAGAATTCCCCTACTTTCAAGGTCACATATAAGTAGTGCCTAGCATTGTGTTACAAATGGCAGGCTCTTAATAAATGCCACAACAAGGAGGCATTTAAACTCTTTGGTTTATTTGAATTGGAAGGTAGAGAAAAAGACATAAAAGGAAAGTATTTGCTGCCTTCTTAAGAGACTAGAGATAATACAAACAGAGACAGGCCAGGCAATAAAGCTTTTTAAGTTACTGCACTCCGTAAATTGTTTCAAACATAAGGGATGGCATTAGTAAAAGATTTTGCTTTTAAAAGGTCTATACATACTAATTCCAGGAATGCTTTCTATAGGAATCTGTCGAACTCCATCTTTAAAACACGAAAGTCCAGGATAGACTTTTCGAATCTGGGCCTGTTTTCTTTCGATCAGCTTTTTAATTATCTGTAAAGCACAAGAAGAAAAAGTGTTCAGTGAAAAGAAGTCCATGTATGGATACAGTTCAAGTCAATCAACCTAACAAAACGTTTTCCTAACAAAATAAAGTATTTTTTATGAAACAAAATGAAAGAAAAGGGTGAATACTATTTAACAAGAAAGAAATGAAAACATTCTGTCATACCATGCCCATTTAGTGACATCCACACAACCATCTCTGAGTGACTTGTCCGTGCCACACAGAAAAGCCAATATTGAAAGAACACACTTGTCATCTTCGGAGTAAGAGTCAATTACTTTGCCCTGCTTCTCTGAGGATCTGCTGCCAGAATTACAGGAAGCGGCCCTGAGTATTCGCTGCCCAGTGAAGCCACAGAACCTCTTCGCATCCAGTAACGAGGAATTGTTCCCTTTAGACTGGAGGGTAGAAGAACAGGCCCCAGAAAGTCCCAAAAGCCTGGAATAGTTATAGCCTTACTGTTATTTAAACTTTCAAGGTTTTGAGTCCCAACCCATTCTGTTTGCATCAAAGAAGCAGCTCTAAATTTTTATCTGTTAAGGCCAACACAAACATGACATGAGCAGCTAGGGTGGATTTGGGAATATTGAGAGATGTCTTGTTTGTTTTGTAAAATAATTCCTAGTGTACTGAGGTAATTACTTCCAAGACAGTGTGGTTTTCCCTTAAATAGGAAAAAAAACTCAAAAACCACCATTCTGAAATTAACCATATCATAACCAAATTTTGAAAAAGAAAAAACAAAGCAGTAGAAGTCACTAGTTGAATTTACAAAGGAAAAGAAAAAATTCTAATTCCTATCTGCTTGATTTCAAACATATGGCTGGCAAATACTGCAGCAAGAATATGTAATTTTAATATGTAACAAAGAACTTCACAAAATGAATGGGACTAGTAAAAGTATATTCCCGGTAAATTTAGATCAGTGCTGTCCAATAAAAACATAATGTGAGCCACTCATGTAATTTAAATTTTCTAGTAGCCGTATATTAAAAAAGGTAAAACGTAACAGGTGAAATTGATGTTAATAGTATATTTTATTTAACCCATTATATCGAAAATATCATTGTAACATATAATAGGAAACAATTATAACATATTGAACATTCCTTTATTCAAACGAAGTCTGCAATATCAGAGGATTTTATACTTACAACAAGCCTCAACTTTTACAAGCCACGTATCAAGTACTCAGTAGCCACATGTGGCTAGTAGCTGCCTCTCTTTGGACACAGCTGATCTAAATGGATGCTTTCCATTTATAAGTCCCAAGGGCAATCTCTTAAATGGATACCTTCAGAAAATATATTGAGGACTAAGTTTCAATTTAAAATGTTTTCTCCTCTTTACCAAGGGACTTTCAAATGTAATGACCTACCAGGTGCCTTCCACACACCTCATGTAGCACCTTAAAGATTGTGAGCTCCTGAGAAATGACTGCTAATGGGAGTGGGAGGCTTCCTAACCTCTGTGTCTCCAAGGATCACTCTGGAGAAAAGAGACATTTTAATTGTCTCCCAACGTCTTATCTTCACCTTCCTAGATCATGTCTTCACTTTAACTCCCTACCAGGAACTCAAAATCAACAACTTCCAAATGAGAGTCAGTCCTCATCTTCCTCTCCTGAAGTCCCTATCTCAGTCCTATGAACTATTACTGTCAGCTTTATGGTCTCCCCAAAAAGAAAATTGGGGGGGCTTCTTTGGGGGAGGGCTTCCCCATCTCTAATACATCATCAAGTCTTAACATGCCTCCTTACAGAAAAAGAGCATCGATTTTCCCCATCCTAACTTGGGCTCCCCCAAACCCAGTCTCTGGTAGATTCACATGTGGATTAAGATTTAAGAATTACCCAACCCCAGCCTATCTACACACACATGCACGCGCACACACAGAGGCACATATACCCCCAATTCTGCCTGCTTGTAGCCTATTCACACTGCAAATAGTGCCTTTCATCACTCACATACCTGTGAGTCTACCTAATCATTGCCCATGAATCTGCTTACATTGGACCCTGAGCCTTTGCTCATGCTGATTCCATTACCAGGCTATCCAGTTCAAAACAAATCTCCCACAAAGCCATCTCAGATGACACTAGGCCCTTACAGATCCATCCTTCCCTTGGAGTCAACACACACAAAGTAGCACTTAACTCTCAACTCTCCCATCCCCCTGTTCAACTATACTAGTTTTCTCTCTCCATCTCCACTAATGATAACTACAACTTATTCTGCTCTTGGATGCTTTTAGAGGCTAGGAAAGTCCTCACTATATTTACCATTTGTTTGCTGCCACCACTAGCGGGAAAGGTTTTTCACCGTTGGAATGAATGATACTTGTAAAAATCATTTGGGTTCTGTGGAAGCAGATACTACATGAATCCAAATATAGTATTTTATTATAATGACTTCAGATTTCTTTTTTAAAAAACTACATTTAGGTGGATAGCGCATTGGACTTCTAAAAGAATGAGGCTAACAGCTCCAAACCTCCATCAGCCATTCCACGGCATGTGTGAAAGAAGGGTGGAGGAAGAGAGGGATGGGGGAGAGAGGGAGAAGGGATCCCAGAGGACAGGAGAAAAAAAGGAGGAGGAGGGAACACTGGCTTCTAAAAAGTTGACTGCTTTGTTAGCCATCTAAAATAGCTCTGTGCTTCTGGCTTTCACCCTTAGGTTTGAAGGGCCAACAGATCTGTACACAATGTGAATCTGCAGAGTCTGCCAAGGGAATCCTGCACTCAGCTAACAGTGTGGGGATGAATTGGTGCTGCTGCGGGCGGAGTGGGGGGTGAGGAAAGAGCAGCTGACAGCACGGTGATGGCTTTAGCTGGCCAGCAGCCTCTGATGCGGAACAATGTGCCGCTGAATCCAGACCTGCTCATTAAGCCCCAAAGAGAACAATGAGGAAAGCCAGCTCTTCAGAGAGAGCCAGGGAGAGAGAGGAGCCTGCTGTGCTTGATTAACTCTTCCAAGTGCCCTATTTGGAATTCTCTCTTAGCCTGACATCTTTGAACAAGGAGCACCAAAAGTTGTTTTTCTTTTCTAATTTAAAAAAAAAAAAAAAAGGCTTTGCTCACTTCCACGGGAAGCGTAAGAACAAGTCTGAGTCACTTTAAGTAAAAGGAAAATACTTAATGAGTAACTACTATGCACCAGACACTGTGTGAGGAGCTTCATGGCTGTTATGTCAGTAATGCCTGGCAAAAAAACTAAGAACTGAGACTGAGGATGTTAGCAGAAACCAGAAAACAAAGAAGGGTTTAAGACAGATGTCTTCTTTAGTTATTTCTTAGAGAAAAGTGCACTAGAATTAATAACAAAGCAACAAGTGGAATCGATGTGGGACGACACAGCTGCAAACTCCCAGTTTTCTGAACCCCAACAAACTGGGGACGGCAAGGAGAGGCTCCCGGGCTTAACACACAAGGTTCATTTGTTTAATAAATGGCCTTTGTGTATTCCCCAATTATACTCTTTTTATGGTTTTCTTTTTTCTGCCTTAGAGAAAATTAAAATTACTATGTAGTCAAATCAATCAATCTTTCCCCTTTACTACCTCTCTTTTAGTTTGTATGTGTAAAAGATGTCACCCAAATATCAGACAACAAATCACTAACCCTGGAAGGATAAGCCTTCAGAACTTGCAATGTAAAAGGAGAAATTAATACACATTAGGATACATCTCTATGTAAGATGAATGACTGGAATTCAAATAGGTAGATCAAATCAGTGCTAGATAAGTTCAAAGGAGAAAACAGAACACAAGCTAAAATGGTTTGATTTGCATGTGTGTTGGGAAAAAAAGAGTGGGAAATGGACAAAGACAGCAAGCAAGAGGATTAAGGTATCAGGGATTGCCTTTGGAGACCAGTATTTAATAGAAAAACACATTTGCAGTATTTGGAGATGAAAGTAAAGAGATAAGACTGGGAAGGATAATTGAGGCCAGGATGTAAAAGGCCTTGAAGGTGAAGTTAAAATATGTCACCTTCTTTTACACATTTTATATTTTATACCAATTTAACAGGTACTGACCCTCTCAGGAGTGGAGACCTAGGAAGCAGGATACCTTTAAATAAGAAATCTAGATAAACCATACTGAACTAAGATTATGATATCTAGTAGATCCATACACATAGAATCCAATGAAATTCAACCCACCCCAACTAAGACTGGCCTGTACAGAAGGAATACAAATCAACCACTTGCTTACCTCCTTCTGCTTTTTAATGATGACAGAAAATTCAGTGTATGGGATCCGTGGGTTTAGCTCACATCCCATTAAAGTGGCTCCTTCATAATCCTTGATATAGCCAACATATTTGGTTTTAGGTATTTTAATTTCTTTGGAGAAACCCTGCAACGCAAATAAATTGATTCATATGGGCATCAAGTATGAAATATCTATTGCATGCTAACTACATGCCAGGTACTGTGCAAAGAATCAAGACATGCTTCTTTAAAGCTCTCACTGTACTATCCTGAAGAGGATTCACTCGAAGTTCAAAATGTCAGAAATTAAACTTGCAAATAAGAAGCAAGACAACAGAAAAACATTGACTGGAATAAAACACAAATAATATTGAAAAGTTTGAAACAGGAACAGATACTAAGTAAAAGTTAGGTTTCATTTTGCATTAGTTACAAAATAAATATGCTGATGCAAATTTCTCCCAATGTGGTGAGGGAGTCCCCAGAATTCTCAACAAATTAATAACTAACATTGATCCAATTCTGAAAGAAAAATAAAGCAGTCAGAACCTTGATGCTGAGGAAATGAAATAGTTTCTTTGCAGGCAAAAAATCTTCCAGACCGTCACTATCCATGTTTGTTGCAATAACATTAATGCTTTGCAATATACTCATTTACACACTTTAAGCAGTAATAGCAGAGTGCTACAGGGTATATATTCAAACTTATAAATAATATATTGATAATACAAACATAATTTTCCTAAAGATGTCTATTTCACTTATTTGCAGAAAATTACTTGGTTTTCAGAACGATCACCAGCAGTTTCCTGCCTCATCTTTCAACAAATATTTATTTCCCAAGTAATCATTGCCATCATCCTCCAAGATGACTACAGACAAGTCATTTAAGAACCGTGCCTGAGATCTTATGCTTTGCAATGTGATTATAGCCTAGAAAAGCTGATAGTCAAGCCCTTGATAAAACAATCCCATTGACTTCTCTCAGGTGAATTTTATCATAAAAGTCACAAACACATCT